GTAGGGGCCCTTTGCCTGCAAATATTCCCCGAGGCCTGATTTTGTCCCTGTGTTCCCTTGGCTATTAGAACCTAGAAGGGCTGGTATGAGTGTCAGACTGCTCAAATCCTGAGGAGACTCCCACAAGCCAGCACAGTTTCTCTTCGTTCCCATATCAGACCAGTACCAGGAGTGACAGCCACATCTTAGCGTCCACCAGCAGTCCCTGCTCCTGTCCTTTCCTTTTCTCCCCCTGGATTTGACTCCTTACAGGAAAATGAAGAGTAAATATTGTTGTGGCCACTTGTATGCCATGAATTTTACAGCTCTATTCAAACAGTAGATTTACTCTTTCCTCAGTGACTCGTTAACTATTTTACTATTCAATTGCCCAAGGCCATCCAGTCAGCTTCGTGCTGGAGTTTGCACTCCATATAATATAAGCCATGGAAATCTGCTCTTTCTGCTTCTGATGATGTTGAACCCCAACCGTACAGGGAAACAGGAGGCTCTGATAGAGCTCCTCCCCCCAGTTTTTAGCGTCCTGCTAGGACAGTGGTTCTCAACTTTCCTAACGCTGAGACCCTTTAATACAGTTTCTCATGTTGTAGTGACGACATAGCCATAAAATTATTTTGTTGCTACTTCATAACTGTAATTTTGCTACTGTTATGAATCATACCGTAAATATCTGTGTTTTCCTATAGTCTTAGGTGACCCCTGTGAAAGGGTTATTTGACCAGCTCTAAAAGAATCATGACCCACAGTTGCTTTGCTAGGAGCTGGTGGACCCTGAGTGGGGGGTGACAAAGGGTGGTGCATAGAAGTGGGCAGTGCATGCAGGTGCTTTTGTGGTAGTGCAGAGAGTAACCTAATGAACAGAAACGATTTACTCTCCAGCAGATGCTCACAAGTTGAGCCTAGAGTGGAAAAAGAAACAAGCAAGCCATGTGGCTTCCTCACTGTATGGCACTGTTCCCAGGGAAAGGAGGGAGGGTTGGGAGCATATGCTTGACAAACCACCATGGGCTCTTAAGGGAGGCCAGCTTTCGGCATAGACTACTGACCAGGTCATCTGTCCCTCATCTGTGCTCCATCCTCCATCTCCTGCTCCCCCCTCCCCACATTGCTTCCCCCACTCAGAGACAGCCGGTCCTCAGGAGCATCAGTGGGGATGGACATCAGAGCTGAGGTCTGACGTGACTGGGTAGCAGCTATCTCCGCATCTAGCTTCAGTAATGAGCCAAGCCCAAGTGAGGTGATGGTGCAGAGGTACTGTGCCTGCTGTTTCAGGCCTTCTAAAGGGAAATGACGTGCTTGGCAGCCACCTGAGATACTAGGTGAAATACCTAGAGAGATGTCCCTGCAGCCGCCATCCTCCTCCTGGGCCTCTAGATCACCAGAGCGTGAGGGGAAAAAAATGTCTGGTTGCTTCTGTGTCTTTTCTACCTAGGAACATTGGCTCTGAGAGGCCCTGAAGTAGTGAGGAGTCAGGGTGAAGCGCCTGTGCCTGTGTTTTTCTCTGGGCAGTCCCTGGCCCCACCTTTCTTCTGAAGCTCTGCTGTCTGTGTGTGAGGCTTAGGACTGTGGCAAGCTCATTGTCATAGGATCATCGCAGACCTTAAGGAGGAGGTATCAGCACAAGGGGTTTGATAGGCACAGACTGCTTCTTGCAAGAAGGGGAGCCTTGGACCATATGTGTTTCTACACCCCTGGAAGTGCAGATGCTGGGGGTTCCTCATCCTAGAAGCTGCCCATTTCTAGGAATGCCCTCCTTGCTGGTAGCAGCCTTCAAATGGGGAGTCTTGTAGTACCCAGGAGTGTGGACCCGCAGAAATGGGGTGCATGTGCTGAAGTGCCCCACTCCCCCCCGCCCCACACACACACCAGTATTGAGAGCACAGAACTTGAGCTTCGTCTGTCACGGATGTGCAGGTAGAGGCTGTGTCAGCGTGGAGGTCAGTGTGTGAATGTAGAGTGTGGAGGGCTGTGGGAGGGACTAGATGCAGGAGTGTGAGCTGCATGAGTGTGACGTGTAAGAGAGTGCACATATGGTGTGTGTCTGAATGGCCATGTGTGAGAATAGGGGGAAGAATATGTGACTCAGTGTCAGAGAGTGTGTGGGTGAGAGACTGGCATGTGGTATGTGCCAGCATGTGGACACTGTAAGATAAGAATCAAAACATGTGGGAACGAGTGCCATGTCTGTGGCAGTGAATGTGAACATGTCACTTGAGCCTGTGCGTGACAGCTGAGTGTGTAAGAGACCACGCCCATCCCTGTGGCTGTTTCGTGGACAACTCACTTCTTAGGACTAGTTCAGTTCTCAAGATTTAGTGCCGCCATCCTTGGGGATTCCCTCTCTCTCTTTCACCTCCCAGTGCTGAGGAGGAGCAGCTGCCAAGAGGGTCTCTGTGGTAGATGCTGTTGGTGTATAGTGGAGACCGTTGATGGAGCGTTCCGTCTCTAGATGTGGCTTCAGGCCTAGACTTAAGATCTGCTCTCTCATTGCTCTTGCTGAGCTGTCTTGGGTCTGTTGTGGAACCTAACTTTGGCATTGTCTTGCCTGAAAAGTAGGAAGAACAAGTCCTGCCTTGGAGCTGTTAGGTCTACCTACTGTCTCTGGATAATTAAAGAAGCACCGAGACCACTGCAGTGTGGTACCTTGTGGCACCTGTGGGGTGCATTGCCCTAGAACGGTGGGGAAGGTCACATCCACTTGGGTTCCTGCAGTGGGTTCCTTAGGGAAGAGGAAATGCTTGTTTGTTTATTAATTGATTGATTGATTGATTTGATTTTTCGAGGCAGGGTTTTTCTGTAGCTTAGGAGCCTTTCTGGGAACTAGCTCTTTTAGACCAGGCTGGCCTTGAACTCACAGAGATCCCCCTGCCTCTGCCTCGCAAGTGCATCACTACTGCCCGACTGGAAATGTTTATTGACTCAACCCCAGAGTTTGTGAAGATAAACAGAAGTGGGTGCAATGTAAGACCAGAGGCCCAGAGAGAACCAACTTAGGCCAGCAAGTACTGCAGACTAGAAGGAGAGCAGCCATCCATATAGAGCGTGAAGGGTAGAGAGCCTGCAGAGACCATCCGTGCAGAGAACTGCAGAGGAGAGAAAAAGAAAGCAGGTTTGTTTCTCCCAAAGGGAATCCAAGTCTTGTCTTTCTTAATTTTAGAAAACAAAAATGTTATTATTGAAAATTTTAGAAGAGAGAATCAAAGGAACAGGAACTTTGCTGTGAGATGGTTGGTATCTCCTAGAAATATCAGAGAAGCTACCCCCGTGAAATCTTACCAGCATGGCTGCCTAAACATGACCCAGCCAAGATGACACCAATAGACGTGTTAATGTGGATGGGGGAAGCTCAGAAGGCCTCATCCCTAAACAAAGAACTTCAGGCAGCTCAAGATTGCCAAGAGCAGGAGAGATAGTCTCCAGGGAAGAGCATACTAAATGTCATCTAACAACAATGATTAGCTCTAAAATATATAAATTCAAGTAACATTACACAGATTTAGCAGGTTGTTTTTATTTATTTAAGAATATATGTATGTTCGCATACCTCTGTGTGTGTGTGTATAGCAGCAATTAAAGAAAAAGGCCAGGAATTTGAAAGAAAGGCATATAGTACATGGGAGGGGTTGGAGGGAAGAAAGAGAAGGGGAAAATGATGTAATTGTTCAATAATTAAAAAAAATAAAATTACAAAAAATAGTTAGAGTTTGAAATTTTAAAAAAGACAGAGGCATTTGCATGGAATTCCACATCCCAGAGATTGGCTTTTGAATATTTTCGTACCATTTTTTCTTTCTTTGGACCCTAAAGCATTTGCCACTGCCCCTGTGACATTGATACATTGCTGTGCGGTGTAGAGCAAACTCCCAGCCATGAAAGCCTGCTGCTGCTCACCGCTGTGATGACAGGATTATGTCATCTCCTATGTGAGAGCCCCTGCCCAGCTTGGTCACCATGGCTGGGGCAGGTGCAGGGCACCTTGGCTCTTACTGGGGCTACTGCCGTGTTACAAAACTCTCTGACTGGGCTTGTTCGGCCTGCTGTTTCAGACTTCCCAGTCCCAGGACCACACACATTTTAAGAGATAAGAGGGCCACCTATGTCCCTGAGGCTGAATCTTGGCAGCTTGTGCGAAGCCCCTTCCCTATGCAGCAAGCTCTTTGTCATCTGAGCCACCTCCCCGGTCCCTATTTATTTACCGTTTTGAGACAGGGTCTTGGCACCTAGTCCAGGCTGACCTTGAACAGCGGTCCTGACTCATGGAATCACACGCATGCACCATCATACTTAGGGGTTTTCTGTTTTTAGCTGATGCCTCGCCTGCCAACAAAGCCTGATTTGTGATGAAAAGACTACATTGTGAATTGAGACGTTATCACTTCTGTTCGCTGCTGCATATGTTCCCCATTGCCCAATTTTAAGAATTCCCTGAAAGAAATTTTAAGACAGACTCTAGCCCAGATATACTTTTCTCCCTAACAAGATGAGCATCAGCTTTGGCTAAATGCAGGGACCATTGGCATCTGGGTCAGGAGTAAAGGCCTGTGGAATTTCTGGCTGAGAGTGGCATTGGGCTATTAAAAGTCCATTCTTAGTATTTGGTTTGGGGTTTTCCCCTCCATATGAAGGTTCAGTTTGTCCTGGTAAACCACACGCCTGGGTCACTGTAAGGGGCTTAGTCTACTCGGTGCTCACACCAAGCCTGGGGGCTGAAGTCAAGTTTAGCTAGTCTCCTGTCCCAGCACTGTGGGCCAAGTCCTAGTGCCTGGCCTTGCCTGTACTCCAGGACCTTTTCTGGATGGAGTCCTCTAGTTCATCTCTGGGCATCCTAGAGTGCCCCTGTGTTTGTGGTCTGCCCATAGCAGTCCTTGTGTCTGTCTGGAATGGCTGACTAGTGATTATCCGTGATTGGTTTAAGATGGGTTTTATCAATGGTCTCTGCACTGTGCTGTGGGGGATCGTAATCAGAAGGCTAATTGTTTTCCTGTTCACTGGCTCCACAGGTGATGAGTCCACCGGGGGACGGCTCCGGAAGCTGAGTCTCGGGCAGTATGACAATGATGCTGTGACCCAGGTGTCCTTCTCTAAGTGTGGATGGGGAAAGGCTGGTGTGGACCCAGCCCCAAGTCTGGGACCATTTTCCTCTCCTGCAGACATCAAAGAGGTATGTTTCGGCCCTGTCCCCATCTCCACTCAACCCCACTTTCCTGTCCTTGGGCTTAGGGCAATGGCTATGCCAGGTCCTTGTACAAAACCACCAGGCACTGTAACCTCTCTGTCCTTGACAGTCCTCCTTGTCCCATAGACATGGTTCTTCAGTGACAGGCAGGGGTTCTGATTGGAAGCGCAGGTCAGAAGGCCTGTGTGGGGTCTGCACACTCCCTAGAGATGGCTATACGGCGGGTACCTTGCATGGGCCATTGAAACCTCAATGCTCTGATCTGTAGAATGGGTATGAGATGCAAAGCATGCAGGTGGGTTGTGAGGGTTAGGGAGCATGACCCTGGCGCTGGCAGGACCCTGTAAATAGATAGCATAGCCAGTGACAAATGCAGACTTCTAGCCTGCACACAGAGCTTCAAGTTCCCCATGGCAAATGATGACCCCAAGGAGGTATATAGACAAGCGTCTCCTGCCTTGTCCTGGGACATGTAGCTAAGGCTTCGTGTCAGAACTGGAGTAAGACGGGCAACCATCCCCAAGTAGTTAACCCTAATTATTCATCTGATTCTCAAATTGAAAAATTGGGGCCTTCACCGTAACTCTTGCAAACACGCACTGTTGATGTCTGAATGTTTCTCCTAGAGTGCATTCCGGTGCGTTTTCACTTCTCTGTGATAGTGATGTAGCTAAGGATTCCTTGGTGCTATTTCGTGCTCAGTGGTGTGGTGCCTTCTTGCTTTGCAACCAAGCCTCCATCACCTTCATCCCTGGCTCTCCAGCACTGTCATACGCCCTTCCTCTCTGTGATTGGGTGATAGCGAGTAGTAGCAGGGGGCCAGTTTCTTCCCCTTTGTCCCCTTCTCAGATGTGGGCTCTGTCAGCAGATCATCTTGAGGGCCCGTATCTCTGTGTAAAGGGCCTTTGTGTGGGGTCTCATTTTTCTCTTCTCTCTCTGTGCTGGTTTCAGACGATGATCACTGCCTATCCCCCTGGCCTCGATATGATCGACGGCAGGATTTCCAACAGCAAGGATTCTGTGTGTCTGACCCCAGCATTCCCTGTGTCTCCAGAAACACCGTATGGTAAGAAAGAAGGAAAACCAGCTGGGTGCCACTAGGTACCACAAAGTGGGATGTAGGCTGTCTTGTCGGACAATCTTTGTACCACCAGACTGCAAATAATGACCCAGAGACCTATTAATTATGAAAGCTTCACCTTTTCCTCAGGCTTTTCCCAAACTAGCTCTTATAGCTTGATCTACTCATTCTGCCATGTGATTCAGTTACCTCTTCTTAGTATAATGGCATATCCAACTTGCTCCGAGTCTGCTGATGAAACCATGCACCTAGTTTTCTCCTCATAGCTTCTCCCTCTGCCTGGAAGTCCCGCCTACACTCTCCCGCCTAGCTACTGGCCATTTAGCTCTTTATTAAGCCATTCAGAAGGTGCCTTGGGCAGAGATACATCTTACATTGTAAAGAATACTTCCGCAACAGTGGGGAGTAACAGTCGCCTTTGCTCTGTTTCTTTTCCAGTGAAAACATCCACACGCTATCCTCCCTTTAGCCCGCCTGAGCCCCAGCTGAGCAGCCCAGCCAGTTTGCGCAAAGGAGGACGTGGTAAGAACCCTTGGCTCTGGCAGTCATGATGCCATTGGCATGGTTGCTGTTTCTACCAAGGTGTATTCTCTGATGCAGAATTATTTCCATTTGGGCCATGTCTCGAAAACCTTGAGCAAGAACATGTTGTGTGAGGGTGTGGAGTGGGTTGTAAATCCACTGGTTGGGAGTAACAGTTGATCATCGATAGGCTTCCCAGCATTGGCAGGAATGTTCAGGTGTGATAGTAGCCTGAGTGGCAGTTTATGCTCAGTTCATTAGGGTCTGTGCTCAGCTCAGCATAGGTGCTTAGCGTCTTGAAAATTCTCCATTGAGCAAGGGCTTTGCTGAAGGAATGTGACCTATTTCACTAAGAACATGGGTTCCAGCAAAGAGCAGGGTTACCTGAATGCACCCCACAATATGGTCATCTCTTCATCTCTTCAGGGTTAGCTGTATGTACCCCACAACATGGTCATCTCTTCATGCTGTTTTGTGTGACCCAGCTATGAGCCTGGTCTTCCAGTTCCTAAAGACTTGATACTTTCTCTTGTTTTCTACAATGGAACCCAGAGACCTTCAGCAGTTTGCACTGTAGGGAGGGAGTGCTAACAGGCCAGAGTGTGTCTCAGTGTCTCTTCAGGTAGACATTGCCCACCACAATTTTTGGGATCCTAAGATGGGCCGAGCTTGATCAGGTGAAAAGATGTCCCACATATGTTCTTTTGGTCATTTAATTTTTATAGTGTAGTTTGCTGTTTGCCATTCCCAGAAAATGTGGGCAATCTCAGTGTGCTCGAGTCCTAACCCCTCGCTTGTCTGGGCATCTTCCAAAAACATTTCAATTCATCAGAGATCCAAAGAAACATCCTAACCTGAACCAGCCCTTCCTTGGTGCCTGATTCACGACAGCCCATCTCCCCAGACTGGCAATGTCTTGGTTAGCAGCAGGGAGTTAAAGAAGAATACTTTGGCCCCAAGGTCACTCTGTCTGCATTGCCTTGGAGAATTTGAAGTTGGAGTGACCACAAAGCGCCTCTCTTAGGACCTTGCCTTCCGTTTTGATTTCTGAGTGTTCACTCACCTGTCCCGAAAAGGCTCTCCTCAGGCTGCTGTTTTTTGAGGCTGAACCCAAGCATCTTGGTCTTCAAGGTTCTCTGTCCAGCAGGACTCGGTACAAATCGATGTACGTAGCATAAGCTCCAGGTTTGAAGAGTCTGCTCCTAGATAGCTTCTCAGCCGTGAACAAGCAACACGTCTGTTGTCCTGTTCATCGTCACAGATGTGGACTCCATGTGGAACACCAAACTCATGGTGTGAATGCAGGTTTTCTCCGTCATGATCTGCTGTGGTAGCACCGTGGATGATCTCTTCCTTCAGTGCAGTGAGAGGCTTGGAGATTAGCGGTGGCCACTGTGGACACAATATGCTCAGTCAGTGCCCTGGGGACCAGCCACTCGAGGCTGTGGCCTCCATAGCCAGACTGCGATAACTCAGCTAACTGTCCATACCCCGTGGGGCCAGCCCCTCGTCGCCCTCAAGAGACCTCATGTACATTTGAAAGTCACTTTTCTCTGTGAATTTGATTCTTCACCCAGCACCTTTTCTACTCTGAGGAGGGCAAGTGAGAGACCCTGTGCTTGAGTATTATCGGCATTTCTTGGGAATGAAAAGTTTTCATTAACTCATATTTAAATCAGTCCTGTCCCTTGAGAGATATAATATGGACCCCACTGCACACGAGTCTGGGCCAATGACAAGAGCAGATTGCATGGGGCACTGCCACAGCCGGGGAAATTGCCGAGCTCATCCCCAGTGTGAGAGTGTCAGCTGGGTTTTATCGCCATAGAGTAGAGTGGAATGGGAGGGTCCAGGAGGATGGAAACTTGCTGAAGGAGACTCAGGTATGGGGCTTCTTGCTGAAGCAGTCTAACTGGATTCCTGCCAAAGGAAGACCAGACCTGGAGCTTGAACATGAAAGCTGGGAGCTGAGAAGCTTGACTGATCGGATGCCCCATGGGGTTGGCCATTAGAGGCAGGATCACTGAGCAGAACTATCACTAAAAACGAGAAGGGATAGGGAAGGCCAAGGATGAGGGTCAGGCTTTGTGGAAGAAAAGACTCGGGGGCGGCACAGGGACACAGTCTTTGTACTAGTCTCAAACACGAAAATGTCTCCTGAAGGCAGCCGTTTCCTATGCTCAGGGCTCACAACTTCCCCTATGTCTCTCCTGGTCCTCTCATGGTTAACTTAAGTTTCCCCAAGTCAGATGTTCCTAGAGTCAGCCAGCTCCCTGCTGAAAGCAAGCTGCACACCAGAGTGTACCCGGGATCTGCTAGTGGTTAGATAAACTGAAGAAGCCTATTGGTGGTTCTTGGCTTGAGAGCACTGCTTGCTCTTGAGGGCTGTGCCCTGTCCCCGGCACCCGCAAAGCGGCTCACAACCACTGTGACTACAGTTCTAGGGTATGTGATGGCCTCTTCTGACCTTCTTGTACTCCTGCACACGTGGGATGTACATACATGTACTTGGGCATACCCACATACACATATTAAAATAAAAAAGAAAAGAAGAAGCCTCGTTTCTAAAATGCTGAAAACGAAAGTGAAAGAGGGGTCGATGGCCAGCATGGGAGATGCCCACGCTTGATGGTACCTAAGAGCCAGCTGTTAGACTCAGGTCGTTGCAGGTCTGTGAAGGGAGGAGAGTTTTCCTGCAGGATTTGGAAGCTCTCATAAGTCAACTCTTCACTTACCAGAGATTCTTCTCTTATACCATACAGTAAGCATTACGACACCCTCCATTCCCATTCTGTTGCAAAGAAGTGTCCAGAGTTATTAGGAACATGTTTTTACACTTTCCATCTAGAGATCTGCGAAACGTTTTAGCATTGTTAGGTTCTAGCAGGCTCTGCCACCAAGCTGTTCCTCTGTTGGGAATGCCCATTTGGCTTCCGGAGTGTCTCTCGGTGAATGCAGAGGATTAGGTAACCGAGGCAGGTATTGTCGGATGGCACTTGTTCTGTCCGTCATCTCCCTTCAGAAGCAAGACGCACACACACCCGAGCTCTGACACTTTCTAACTGGGTGGTCCAGGGAGGTTTCTGCTACTCCAGTGTCTATCTGTTCCAGTGCAGCACAGCGAGTGATTGCTGCCACACACCGTTCCGTGAGCGCTTGTGAACATGGTGCCTGACTTAGACCTGAAGCAGAATCCGCGAGGTTGTGCGTAAAAACGATAGCACAAACAGCAAAGAAAGGGACAATGTCATAAATAGCGGAGGACCATGGTAGTCATAACTTGTCAATAGCATGGAGAGTCTTAGTCTACCCTCTGCTTTAACACACCACTGTCACTGAGGAAATTTATAATCAACAGAAACTTGCCTCACAGTTTAGGAGTCTGGAACGCCTAAGATCAGGGACCAGAGAATGTCTTCATGGGTCCGAGCAAAGCAGAAGCATCCCGTGGGAAGTGGGGAGATAACCATGAAGGTTATCAGGAACCCACGTTTGAGATGTATGGTGCTACCTCGTTCATGAGGACAGATTCCATCTGCCGTAGCCTTTACTTCTGAAAGTCCCCTGCCACCCCAGTATTGGTTTCCTAACACATGAACCATAGGGAGTGACTGTGCTCAGACTATAGCAGAACATGAGTTGTAGGGACACAGAAGCTTCAGGGCCTCTCCCAGCAGCTTATAAGAACATAAAGGGTAGGGGACAGGCACAGGAGATGGCAGAGCAGCCATAGACCCTGGGAAGGGAGTCATGACAGCACCTGAGCAGTGTCCAGGGGGCTGTGAGCATCCTTACATTTCTGAAGCAAGACCTTGGGCTTTGTGAGGATGGTGACCAGGCAGCCAGCACAGACCAGGAGCACAGCTGACTGTTCCTGCATCATCGCTTCAGCCAAAGTATACCCCAGACATGTAAGTGGTCAGGGCACCCATACATGCCTTAGGATTCCAGAAGTTAGCCTTTTCTAAGGAATAGCCTTTTTTTTTTTTTTTTAAGAATCTAAGCGGCATTGTTTAATCTCAGTCTTTATATGGGTGAAAGAAAAAAAATTATGAAGTGTAAGATATAAAACATTTTGCAATTTCCTAGATGATACTTAGCCTTGGTATTTCTAAAATAACTGAAATAAAAGACCATGGTAAAATGTTTCATGAAAAAAGCCATGTTTCTGACATAACTTACTTTCCAAATTGTTCCAAAATAGTTCATTTGCTACATTTGCGATGTCTTAACAACCATTGCCCTCTGTAGTTGCAGAATGTTCCTGTCACGTAACAGTTTCTTACGATTGTTATTTAGAGACTTTTGAGAACTTTGGGCATCCGTACAAATGATGAATGGCTAATGTTTGTTTACTTCAAGGGAATGCTTTTGTGATTTTGCAATTCCTATTTTGTATCTGACAGATTGATATGAGTTGTTTGGGGCTGTTTTCTCCACTGTGAATACAAGGCTTTGTGAAGGGGTTGAGGGTTGGGTCCATCTGTTTACTGGGTTTATGGGGAACAAGAACCAGAATAACTGGTTCAAAATAGGGAGCTGGACATGGTGGAGTTCAGAGGGCAGAAATGGATGGTGTTTGCCAGAAGAGGATGAAAAGCAGGGTCCGGGAGTATTTGGAATTAAACAGAAAGGGAGGAGAAGTTAGGGGGGCTCTTAATTGTTCTTATTTAGAAGCAGTGTTTTAGTTTTGCTTAGAAAAGTATTGGGGGACTGGAGAGATGGCTCAAGCGTTAGGAGCACTGTTCTTCCAGATGACCCAGGTTCCAGTCCCTGCACCCACATGGTGGCTCACAACTGTCTGTAACTCCAGTTTCAGGGCATCACACACTCTTCTGGCTTCCTCTGTCACTACACACAATGGTTCACAGACATACATGCAGGCAAAACACAGACACAAAAAAATAAAGGAAAAAATGGGGAGGGCTTGGAGAGGAAAAGGAAGAGAGGAATAATATAATTATGCTTTTATCTCAAAGATAAATAAAAGCTAAATTAAT